CAAAAATCTCTGGAAATGCAGAGAAGGCCAAGTTCCTCCTCCCACCCCCGCCCCTCTGTGTGGGTGTCCTGCAGCTCCCGCCTGGCAACCCTGAGGGTCTGAGCACCATGCTTGTCTCGGAGCAGCTGGCAAGGGCCGGAGTCCAGGCTGCAGCGGGGCTGATTCCTCCCAGCCAGAGCAGCCCTGTCTTTCAACAAATATTTACTGTGGAGCAGCTCTAAGGACAAGGACAGCTGTGAGCACACACACACACCCCAATCCACACCCCTGCGCACACCTGTGGGAGCCACAAAAGCACAGGGCAGAGGGAGTGCAGACGATGCTAGCCCCAGGACACGGCATGGCATGCTAACCCTGCGGCCTCACAGCCCCAAGACGGGCTCTGTGTTAGCAAAGCAGACGGCGGTAGACATGCAGGAGGGGCTGTAGGAGGTTCGTGGAAACATGGAATTGAAAGATAACGGAAGTTTTCCATGGAAGACCCTTGTGTATTCTGTGTGTGTGTGTGTGTGTGTGTGTGTAAAAAGCAAACATTTATGTATGTGTATAGATATATGGGTGTATAAATTAAATATATTTATATACATATAGATATATAGAGAGAATAGGCTCCTAAACTTATTTGGCCTACTTCCCCCTTCTCAGGAAAAAAAAAATCATTCGGTCTCCCCACCCCATCATCCCTGCACTCCCAGAAATTAAAATCATTTATGCTGTGGCCCATCACCCAGGATACAGTGCAGGCAACCGCATACAGCCCCCCTGCTTCTGCATCATTCCAGCACTGCTCCCCAGAGGGTGGGAGTGCCCACACTGGGAAACACTGTGTGTTTGTGTACACACATACATACATATATATATCATTGAAAACTATGTACAGCCTTGAGAAGAATGGGGATTCTAGAACACCACATTGTGCTTATATGAAACCTGTCCATGGATCATGAAGCAGTTGTGCAAACAGAACAAAGGCATACTGTCTGGTTTAAAATCCAGAAAGGTGTGCACCAGGGTTGTCTCCTCTCACCACACCTATAATCATCAGAGAAGCTGGGTTCTATGGAGAAGAAGAAGCACCAGGGTTGCAGGGAGGCTCACTAATAAGCTGCAATGTACAGACGACACAACCGTGCTTGCCTGCTGAAAGCACTTGCTGATGAAGATCAAGCCTGCAGCCACAGTGCGATTCCAACTTGATGTGAAAAAAAAAAACAAATTCACTGCCATCGAGGCACTTCTGACCCAATCAGACAGAGTGCAACCACTTTCACCACGGTAAATGGAGGAAAGAGTACAGTCGTCGCGGATTTCATCTTCCTGGGATCCACAGTCAATGCTCACGGAAGCAGCAGTCAAGAGCACAAACAACACATTGTATTGGGTCAATCTGCTGCAGAAAACCACTTTCGAGTGAAGAGCAAGGAGGTTACCTTGAAGACTAAGGTGTGCCTGACCCAAGCCAATGTACTTCCAATCGCCTCATGCATGTGAAAGTTGGACCTTGAATTAGGCAGACCAAAGAAGCATCGATGCATTTGAACTGTGGTGCTGGAGAAGACTATTGACAGTACCATGGGCTGCTAAAAGAACAAACAGATCTGTCCTGGAAGAAGTGCAGCCAGAGTGCTCCTTAGAGGCAAGGATGGCAAGATTGTGTCTCACATACTTTGGGCGTGTTGTCAAGAGACCAGTCTCTGGAGAAGGGCACCATGCTTGGTAAAGTGGAGGGGCAGCCAAAAAGAGGAAGACCTTCGACAAAATGATTGGCACAGTGGCTGTATTGATGGTCTCAAACATAAGGAAAGTTGTGAAGATGGCCCAGGACCAGGTGGTATTTCCTTCTGTTGTGCATAGATAGGGTCAATGCAGTCAGAACCCATTTGACGACACCTAAGACCACCACCACCACCACCACCACACACACACACACACACATACACACACACATGGTTTTGGGGGTATCCCATGGGGATTGCATTGTTTTGGGGAAGACCTGCATATGCACATGACACAAACCTGGAGCCTCACAGACAGGCGTGGACAAAGGTACCCCCCACCCCCACGGCCACCCCCGGCAACGTTGATCACTATGCTCGCAGCACAGACAGGCTCCACACATGACAGAGCCATTCACTGCCAGCACTGGTGACCGTCTAGAAGCAGGCCATCCACTCCCCCTGCTGACCTCCGTCCAGTTCCTGCCTCACCCCACCTCCCACCTGCCCCTAAATCCCCAAGGCTCCTCTCCCAGCCAGCAGCCTCCCCCTGACACAGCATCTGGGGCAGGCTGGCAGACCCTATGCATCAATGCCGCTGGCCCACAGGCAGAGTTCTGGATGGGCCCAGCTGACACACCCTGATGGGGAGAAGTCTGGCTCTAAAAGGAGCTGCAGAGGTGGGTGGCAGGGATGTTTGCAACAGAGAAATAGAGCATCTTCTTTCAAAGCACAAACCACCAGGTGGTGTCTGAAAAGACACTCCACCTCACTAGGGAGATGCAGATGGTAACGGCTGTGCGATAGCCCCTCGCCTCCCTTAGAACAGAGATGATCAAAACCCAGAGGACGAGAGGTGCAGGCTCATGGGCTTATATGGAGAAAGGACCCCAAGGTGGGTAGAAAGCAAGGTGACCAGCGCTGAGGAGAGTCCCTGGGACCCATCCCTGGGATGGCCATCACATGACTACCTGACCAGCAAGCACAACCCTTGGCACAGATGCCCAGAAGAAGGGGCGGGGGTGGGGAGCATCTTGGTGTTCCTTGAAGCCCCAAGGTGGAACGGAGCACGACACCAACCAGCAGTGCAAGGCGTGGGTCCTGACACATGTCCAGTCCTAGCATGGGGTGGCCCTCCGTGTAATGCAGTGTGTATGCACACACACTACAGGAAGTCAGCACGCCCATCTAAAGCCCAGGGTAAAATGCAGGGATTCCTACGGTCTCCTGAAGGCTGCCTGAACGAATCCCCCCCACCCCAGGGTGGGGGAAGCTGTGATGACCCCCTCCTCCTCCCATTCACCCAAGCAGTCCCCTCCCAAGCCACCCGAGCCACCGACCGAACACCCCCCACTCCAGCTCCAGAAAGGCACGTGGCCTGCTTCCTAATTGCTCTCCATCCGTGGTGAAGTAATTCAAACATTCCCTTCCCTTCGGAAGTGAGAACAAGGGCTAAATTTAAACGCAATAAGTTAATGATGCATCTGCAATTCCAAGCAGCCAACAATCTATCAGAAAAATCAGCCCGTTCCAAATATAGGACAGAGTCACACACACAGATCCTCTCCACAGCGGCCGGAGGACAAAAACCGAAACCGCCCAAGCAGCCAGTGCTCAAAATAGCCCGCCCGCCGCGCTCTAAGTAGCAAGGGGCTTCTGGACCCTACAGGCCACACAAGACGCCTGGACTCAGAAACTAACAAACTTATAAAGGATGTCCGCCCCACCCCCACCCCTTGCCCCAGAGCTGAGATCACCCTTGGGAATGTGCTGTCCATGAGACAGGCCGAATCAGGCGACACCCACACCCTGTGGCCAGTGGCACCTGAGGGAGACTGTAAGTGTGCCAGGGAGGAAGACGGGCACAGGACTTGGGAATTTCACCAGCACCTCCCAGAACAATGATGAGTGGCTGCAGACCCTACATCCGCTGTCCCAGGAAACTGAGGGCAGGACACGTGAATGAGACTGCTGGGTGTGGAAGGAGCCCACCAGCACGTTCCCCCCATGTCCAGGCTCTCATCACCCCAACCTCACTGACTCCCAGCTCCACCAGCAGCAGCATCACTACCCACCCACCTCCGTAGGGCCCCGACACACCCACTGGGATTTTCTGCCACGACTGCCCAGCCACCCTCCTCACCACCCTCACCACGTCTGCCACACTCTGTCACCATCATTGTCTCTGCCACTGTTACCCTACCTGACCTCCACCTGTTGACCACCACCACCACCCGTCACCACCAGTCACCCTACCTGACCTCCACCTGTTGACCACCACCATTACTCCTGTCACCATCATCACTGTCACCCTAACCCTAAGTTCTACCATGTTGACCACCATCACCACCACCATCACCCGAATCCTTACCTCGACTATGTGTACCACTGGTTACCACCACATTCACTGGAACCTGGGACTCATTCCTTTCTCTCAGAAGTTAAGTCCCAATGTCACACCCAGAGAGGGGACTGCAGGTCTGGGTGGTTGACCTTCTGCTTCATGCACAAAGCATGTGCCTGCTGGCATTCACCACACCCACAGCCTAGCCAGCCATTCCGGGTGAGGATCGCTGTGGTGAGCAGCAAGATGGTTCTCCACGAAAAACCACACAACCACCTAGCCAACTGCACCCCGGCCAAGTGTCTCCCAGACACTCAAGCCAAACCTACGCTCCGGTGCAAACAGACCGAGCGCGCCCACACACTGAGTCTGTCGGCCATTCTCATCCTAAAATGCCAGCTCCCCCTCCACCTCCAGGTCACTGGAGTCATGCTTGTCACCTCCCTCACTCCCACCCCAGTCCGTCCCAGTGCCCGACAGCCCTCTAGGCCCAAACCTGCAGATTCTCTTCACTTCCCCCACTCCCGCCCGGGCAAACCCCCTGGTCCAAGCCTGTATGGTGAATCAGTCATCTGGACAACGCTGTCCTGCTTCTCCTCTGCCCCACCTCCACTCAGCGCCTGCAGTGCTCTCACAGGCAGGCTTACGCATGTCACTCTCTTCCCTGAAACCTGCCTCTGCCAAACAGGCCACCGCTCCTTCAGATCAGACAGGCCACAAGCATGTCACGCAGCCAGCTCTGCCTTCGCCGTGCTGGCCACAGAGCCTTTGCAGCACAGCCTCCGGCCTCCCTGGGGAGCAGGCGCAATTGGCTTTGCTGCTCACTCTCTCCTCCTCTCCAACCGACCTACCCCCAGCTGATCCTCATTGAACACACATCTTGTCTCAGGTTTTAAGAGCTAACGCAAGGACAGAGCTTCCCGGGCATCAGGACGACTTACCTAGTGAGTGCCACGTTGGGCTCCTGCTCAGCTCGGGCACCACGGGGAAATCCCTGGCCGGCCAACTGGCCGGCCAGTCAAATCTGTCCTCTTGACCTCCTGATCTCAGGTATAGTGGGATATGGCTCACCTGCAGGGAGAAGCACAAGGAAATGACTGCAGGTTGGCTCTTTTGCCTCCTGTCCCCTCTCCAGTCCACGAGGCAGGGACATGTCATCTACTTTCTAAGTCAGAACATTCCAAGGTTCAAGTCCTGCTCTGGCCAGCCTGAGACATCTTCACCAAACGTCCCGGTGTAGAAAGAAGCACTCCCCACCTGCACACAGAGCTTGCACGTGAGGCTTTGTGCAGAAGCAGCGTGTTGCTGGATCTGCCAAGGAAAACTGGACATGTGGCTAATTATCCAGAATCACACGGTGGCCACGCCATGGGCTACAGAACCATGTAATGGACACATCGTGGGCTACTGAATCATGCAATGAACAAGTCAGACTACAGAACCATGTAATGAATATATTGTGGGCTACTGACTCATACAGAAGACATGTCATGGGCTACAGAATCATGTAATTAATATGCCAGGACTACAGGATCAAATAACGGACATGCTGTGGAGACATCATGGGCTACACCATCATGTGGTAGAGACAGAGTGTGCTACAGAATCACACAGCAGACATGCTGTGGGTCACACACAAAGGGGGACAGAGCCCAGACCCACGTCACACACACACACACACACACACACCCCACTGCATGCCCTTCATCATGGAAGCATGGATGACCCCACGGGGGTTATGAGGAGCATGAGGAGGGGTCAGACAAGTCCTGAAGACCATAGCACTGCCAGCAAGCCCACCCCACAGACTCCGGGGACGCCACCCAGGACCAACCCAACAGACTCTCTCGAGGGGGAAGGGATCCTCCCTTAAATCCCCGAGGTGGCACACGCCATCAGAACATCTCCAGTTCTTTCTCTCTTCCCTTGACTCTGGTCCTGTTTTACATCTCCTTAGAATCACAGAGTAGACGGAAGTATCTTGATCTTCTCAGAGAACTTACTTAGCAAAGACAGGGAATAAAGAGAGTATCTACAATGCAACTTAGAATTGGAACACCGGGGAGGAGATGAGCCAGTCAGGGTGCGATGTAACAATGATGAGAAATACAACTTTCCTCTAGTTCCTAAATGTTTCCTCCCCGCTCCCACTACCATGACTCGAATTCGACCTTGCAAGTCTGGCTAGACCAGAGGATGTACACTGGTACAGATAGGAACTGAAAATACAGGGAATCCAGGGCGGATGAGCCCTACAGGACCAGTGGTGTGAGTGGCAAAACAGGGAGGGTAAAGGGAGAATGGGTAGGAAGGAGGAAACCGATTACAAGGAACTATATGTGACCTCCTCCCTGGGGGACAGACAACCGAAAAGTGGGTGAAGGGAGACGTCGGACAGGGCAAGATAAGACAAAATACCAATTTATAAACTATCAAGGGTTCATGAGGGAGTGGGGAGTGGGGAGGGAGGGGAAAAATGAGGACCTAATTTCAGGGGTTTAAGTGGAGAGAAAATGTTTTGAGAACGATGTACAAATGCGCTTTACACAATTGATGTATGTATGGATTGCGATAACAGTTGTATGAGCCCCTAATAAAATGTTTAAAAAAAAAAATTGGAACACACCACACAGTGTGAGCAAATTTTAATGTATTTCAATGTAGCAGACGTTTGCCAAGTGCCTCTCAAGCTCGTGGTGGTGGTTAGATCCACAGATAATAAAACCACGCCCATGCAGCCCTCACCACCTTGGGGTCCACACATGGATGCATGATGGTCATCCGAGCTAGACCGGGATGAGGGCCAGCGGGACCCAAGAGGAGGTGGGAGGGGGAGGCGTCCAGACAGGAGACGGGAGGGAGACCTCTGGTAGCTGCACTCACGACACAGAGGGACCGGGTGGCCTTCACAGTAGAGAGGTGTCACAGGGAATAGTGATGATGAGAATCTGCCTGTGGAGACCCGCCCCAGGCCCACATGCATAGATCAGAGGCTCAGACACTCACCTCACCCATCCTGCAGCCAAGCTACCCATAGTCCAGCCCTACCTGACAGCGACCCTGTACACAGCAGGGTACAGCCAGCTCCCACGGGATTTTCCGTAGCTACTTCTGGGTAGACACCAACTTCCAGCCTTTGGGTTTACAGTCCCTCAGGGTCTCCTCCACTGAGGCTGAACCTGAAACAAGCACACTGCCGTCCAGTCATACTGACCCACAGCGACCCTGTAGGGCAGGGCAGAACTGCCCCTGTGGGTTTCCAAGACTGTGACTCTACAGATGCAGTGGCCTTTCCCGCCCAGAGTAACTGGTGGTCGAACTGCCGACCTTGTGGTTTTCAAAAGTCTAACAAGTTTTTTTCCCCTGAAGGTCTTCCCTTCAATGTCAAACGCCTGGTCTCCCAGCAGTTATGGGTGGGGCTCAGGATTTCTCTCTAAGCCCCTTAGTCTACCTTGGCTTCAAATAAACAAACTAACAAAAAATGTTTTCCTTTCAGGCAATTCCGATCTCTGTCCAAATTCTTAATAGCCTGTCCCCAGTACCCCAGTGCTGAGGCTTGCTTGATGTGATGAGTCTTCATTTCTCATTGGACCTTTGGCCTTCTACATGCAGATGCCAAGTCCAGTCCACAGAAAGCCAATCGTCAAAACTGCGGCAGTGTGCGTCAGCTCAGAGTCGAGCCTCTTTCTCCTCATTTGGGCAGGCTCTGGTCATCTTGGCCATAACCATCCATGCTGGGTCAACTGGTACCAGCTGTAAGCTTTGAGAATCCACACCTACCTCCCACTGCCCACTCTGCCACCAGGGCTCCCTGACATTGTCTTTGTGGAAAACAGTCAGTGTGGACAGTAGAAGCTCAATGAAACTATCAAGTCTAGCCCAACTGAGACCACCACTGACACCCACAGGGGTGGCAGGAGCAGGCCCTGAAAATTCTCTTACGTCAGCAAGCCTCCAACACAGGAGATAAAGTCAACGCACCACAGGAGCCAGGGGGAAGAGAAAGCACAGCCAGCCAGAGAAATGTAAAAGGCAACCTGCAAGGGCTAGCACACCCAAACCAAAAGCAAGACGTTTTAAAAAGACAACCAAGGACCAAAAAAAGACATAGTTGTGTAAAATGAAATTTTAAACGGTGCATTTGGAAGATAAAAACTCGACAAAATTCCCTAGAGTGATAGCAACTAGAAAAGAAAAAGAAGGGCTTTAGAGATCAATCCAGATGGTGCATTTTTTTACTTTGAAGATTGTCGGAAAGAAAAATGGTGGATTGGTTTAGTGAAATACTTGTCTGAGAACAATTTCTAGAACTCAGAAAGGACCCCATAAGCACTTATGAGAGTCATGAGCCCTCACAAGATAAGACGACGACTCTTGCTAAGTGAAGTAAGTCAGGCACAAAAGGACAAGTACAACATGAGTCCGCTGAGGTAAGCAATAAAAAAAAAAAAAATGACAAAGGGGCATAGGGAAAAAGCTACTATATACAAACATTCTTGGGGTGAGGACCAGGTAGTATGGCAGGGACCAGATCAAATGCAGGGATGCACATGGTAGACAACTGGGGAGGAGGTGGGGAAAGAGAACAACAAAAAAATGATGAA